AAGTCTCAAGTTGCAATCTTGAAATATTCTATGGGCAAAATCTTGAATGATGCAGGAAGCATCAAGAGAAGATGGAAAGAGTACAGGGTCACTGTACCAAAAAGAGCTGGTTGACTGTCCACAATTACAGGAGGTAGCATATGAGCAAGAACCAATGGTGCAGAAGGAAGAATTTCAAGCTGCATTAGCCAAAAACAAGGCTACAGGAAATGATGGAATTCCCATGGAAATGTTTCAAAACACAGGAAATGCTTGGAAGCACACACAGAAATTTGGAAGACAAGCTACTTGGCCAATGGACTGGAAGAGCTCCATATTTGTACTCATTTCAAAGAAAGGTGGGCCAAAAGAATGCTCAAACTGTGGAATAATATTATTGATATTGCACTCAACTAAAATTTTGCTGGAGATCATCCAATGAAGGTTGCAGAACTATATCGACAGGGTACTGCCAGAAGTTCAGGCAGAATTCAGAAAAGAACATGTCAGATGGATCTTGGCTCGAAGCAGAGAATACTAGAAAGATATTTACATGTTTTCTTGACTGTTGCAGAGCATTTGACTGTGTGGGCCATAATAAACTACAGATTAACTTTGAGAAGAATGGAAATTCCAGAATAAGCTGTGAGGAGTTTGGGCTTCTTTCCATTGTGCTCATGTGGAATTTGTGCATCGATCAAGAGGCAGTTGTGTGAACAGAACAAGGGAACACTGCATGGTTTAAAATCAGGAAAGGTGTGCAACAGGGTTGTATCCTCTCACTATACTTGTTCATCTGTATCTTGAACAAATCATTGGAGAAGCTGGATTATATGACGAAGAGTGTGGCAGCAGGAATGCAGGAAGGGTTATGAACAACCCGGGAACTGCAGATGACACAACCTTGCTTGTTGAGAGAGAGGACTTGAAGCACGTGCTGATGGTCAAGGATCGTAGCCTTCAGTATGGATTACAACTCAATGTAAAGACCAAACTCCTCACAACTGGACCATTAGGTGACAGCATGATAAGTGGAGAAAAGATTGAAGCTGTCAAAGATTTTGTCTTTCTTGGATCCACAACCAATGCTCATGGAAGCAACAGTCAAGAGATCAAAAGAGATGTTGCATTGGGTAAATCTACTGTCCAAGACCTTTTTAAAGTGTCGAAAAGCAAGGAGGCTCCTTAGAAGAATAAGATGCCCCTGACCCAAGCCAAGTTATTTTCAATTGCCTCATATGCACGTGAAAGTTGGACACTGAATAAGGAAGACCGAAGAATAGATGCATTTGAATTGTGATACTGGAGAAGAATATTGCAAGTACCATGGACTGCTAAGAAGGACAAATGGAT